TACTTCTTGGTAATGCTACCGAGCGCTTAAAACAGCACCTTCTTCGGATGAAGAGAAGGATGTGGGTTGTCGTGCAACCTGCCATACAACGCGGCCGTGTCGAATGGGAATACGCAGCTGCCATACACTATCTTTGCAACTCGACGTACGATTCATCGTAGAATAAATCATTGCGTCTATTAGTGGCTACAGACGTGACGATTTATTATACGACGAGCCGACACGGTTGGGTGCAACGGTAGTTATTTCTACTTGTTGTGTATTGTTTTTTTTTTCACAGACGTAACGACCTGTTGTTTGACAAATGTTAACAAAAAGTAGTATACTTGGTCGTTAGGAGGAACACATTTGCTCCTGTAATTCGGTTTGAAAGCTGAAGTTATACGTAAAATCTTTCCAATTGGCTGTCAAAGGACCACACGCGTTACTAGGTGTCGTCCATCGCGGAACTCGTTTGTGACACCACTGTACACACCACACTCGAGCACTTTTGGAATGGTGTTGCTTGAAATATTACGTCAAGTAATATATTATTTTATTTTGTAAAGATTTGAAATAGTTCTTTAAAATGATATCAGATGAAATTCCACGTTTATTATTCATACTCAGGAAGAAATGATGAAGAAATAAACAAAAATTAGTTTAGCATGGATGGAGCAACTATTATTCTTAGAGCTTTGTTCTGGAATCTTTGGATAACATTTTGTTTTCTCTTTTTTTAGATTAATTTAATTATCAATTACATTGAATTCTTATAGAAACTTATAAACAATTTGGGATAACGCATTCACTGGCAACTACGAGACGTCTCGCAGTTCAAATTGATTGCTATTACTCAAGGGATAAGTTTATATATCATAGCCTTTTGTGTCACGAATTATTACAAAAAAAGATCGTAAATTTTCTTTTTAAAACAACAAATTTAATATCACTGTTAATTATCAAAATAATAACCTAGATTACACAACTGTATTAAATCTTAGCGCCCAAAGCAAAACGCTTTAAAGACTAGCAGTGACTGGGTTAACGTGTTACAGTGGCATGGATTGTAACTTTCAGGTATTTACAATCTAGTATTTACTGTTTTCTGTGATTACATGTGATTGTACATTTAGTTAATCAACTCTATTGCGTAGTTCTAATGGGAAATATCTTTCAAGACCACGTATGTGACCTGTAGCATCTGAGTTGAATTGATAAGGGGATTCGGATAACTAACAAGGTCGAGCCATGGTTGCTGTGATTTGATATTTTTTCACAACACAACATAATGTCGTCGCGATGAAAACGTATCGTGCTGACAATGAGGACGTAATATGAAATAATTAAAAACTCGAGTGTGAATGTATAACTACAGTGAAGACATATGGTATTAGTAAGTCAACAATTATGAACATTAAAAAACCGAAAAATGAAACCTTAGATGGTGCAGTTTTCCGGTAGTTTCTAGAATGTAGTCAAAATAGAATACTGCTTTCTGAGCGTATTACGTGTCAAAAAGCTATATTTAACTTCAGTATTTGTGACTTTTGTTATGAATTTACGTTCTGTTTTTTGAAATACATATATATCAAGATCAGCATCAAAAAAGTCCCCCTATTAACACATTCGCGACCGGCAGATGTTTTACGTTTCTAATACCGAGTACCGACGAAAATAATAAAATTCTGAAGCTGGACATCGTAAATTTGCATCGTTAGGTTGAAGATAAACTGTTGTAACTACGTAGATCAATGTTGTAACTACGTAGTGTATAAAATAAAAAGATTTTCATAATTTTCTGATAACCAGGAAAGAGACGTGAATTCACGTCAACGGTCGCGAATGTGTTAATTCGAATAATCCAGCCTCTATTATAATTTATTTCATAACGTTAAAAGCGAAGAAGCAGCTTCATTTCGCACCGAACTTCGAAGCGTTGCCTCGGGGAGGTAGGTAGATTAGCTAAAGTCATTTGTTTCTATTCTACTTTCTTGATACACTTCTTATTAACATTTACACATACATCGGGCAATGTGTTTACGTGACATTTGGTGTGAAAAACGGAAGAACAAAATTCACCAAATGAGTTAAGAGCTATCTGAGAATCTGTGTCTTTAGAAGTTTTGAAACATGGAAGAGATGTCGTCACAAGTGTATTGCAAGCAATGGAGATTACTTTGAAGATGACCAAATAGAAATTCACGATGGAATGAATAGTTTGTGTTTTATGTAACTTGTAATTTATTTCATAACGTTAAAAGCGAAGAAGCAGCTACTTTCTTACGTGAAATTACCAAAAAAAACTGCCACCTTGACGTCGCCCAGAAGCGACTTTTTATCTAACGGAAGCACGTTCACCGTATTCCCGTAGCCTATGGCTAGAGAACAAGGAACTCTTTGTGAGATTGTGCCGTGAGCATCGGCTAATCCTTCGTCCTCAGGTGAAACTCGCTTTCGGCATCGAGAGATCCGTTTCCCACGGTACGCCAGGTAACCCGGAGCGTTTTCCCCGTAATGTGGGTCTCCGCGATACATCCCCCTCCCCTTCACTCTCACTCCCTCCCCCTGTCAGGACCTGCCTTCTCCTCGCCAGCCTTCGACTCGGCTCTTTCACCGAAGTCGCCGACTGGGCCGTGAAATCGGCGTGAGGCCTCACGATTCCTCGGTCAGGTAGAAAAAGGAAAAGGATTGCCGAGGAAATTCAGCAATCGACGTAACGCCGCTGATGTATTCGCTAGTCGCTGCGAATGGAATGCTAATGCGAGAAAAGATTCCCTCGCGAACGGTGGGCAGAAATCCTTGGCTGTTTAGCGGCTAGATGCCGAGGACTAGGCTTTGCACTTTCTGTTGGCACATACGATATACTACCCTGTTCGAAAAGTTGCACGACAGCCACAAAGTTATTTCATTATTTTTTCCTTTCATCCGCTATGCTGGCCTTCCGAATTTATGAATTGTATCCATAGAGTATCTAATTGTATCTAATTGTAGATAGAGTGGAGGAGACATAAATGGAAAAAGTATTCCATCGTTAGAAAGAGGTATTAAAACCGTGGTACCCTATCTCTGTGCTTGTATTAATGTGAATGTAAAATATATATGCAATTATTAAAAGTATTAACGATAATCATTTATCATTTTAACATTAAAATGATATAAATATGCGCTGGTAGATAGATACAGGTAGTGTACCGCGGTTTTGTTTCTCTTTTTAGCTGCAGTAAAGCCAAAGGTCTAGCATCCCTACTCTCTGTGTATAATATCTTCATGATTATATCACAAGCTCGGTTACCGAACTTCGAGGCGTTGCCTCAGGGGTGTAGGTAGATTAGCTAAAGTCATTTGTTTTTATTTTATTTTGTTGACACACTTCTTATTAACATTTACACGCTCTTTACTTTAGTTTGGTTGTAGTTATTACTTTTTTTTGTCAAGCGCAATTTGAGGGTTAATGTCGAAATTGTTAATGGCAATGTGTTTACATGAAATTTGGTGTGGAAAACGAAATTAATCGTTCCACGACAATCCAATTGTTACGAAAACCCTTTCATGAGAATTGTTTATTAAAATCACGTGTTCGCGAGTGGTATAAACTGTTCGAAGACGGTAAAGAGTCCATCCTCGTTAACTGACGAGGCTGGCGTTCACGTAAATACAGGAAAGGAATCGATCATGTCAGATCGAAGTTTGACCGTGCAGGAGATTGCCGCAGATGTATGAATATCCTGATGGGTTTACAACGTATCATTTTAACTAAAAATTTGAATCGATCAAAGGCATAAAACAAAATTCACCGAATGATTTAAAAGCTATCTGAGAATCTGTATTTCTAGAAGTTTTGAAACATGGAAGAGATGTCGTCACAAGTGTATTGAAAGCAATGGAGATTACTTTGGAGATGACCCAATAGAAATTCATGATGAAATTAATAGTTCGTGTTTCATGTAACTTGTCCTGGAAGCCTTTAGCTGGATAAAAAGGAACAATGTGTCCACTATCTTGAAGAAGGAACATATTTACGATTTAACCCTTAACACTCCAAGTGTGCCTCTCAGGCATCACCGATGTGCGGCGTTTTACTCCAAGTAGACTTTTATAAGCTAGGAATCTTACACACTATACAGGTAAAATCTATAAATGAGTAAAAAAATTATAATGTGTTTTCTTGTAGTTTAAAATCTGACACTTAATAAGTTGGAGTTGCCGGTCGATATTCACAATTAAAAATCGGAGAGTCAAGAGTGAAATCTATATCTGATTAAATCCAGCTGAAGATTGAATATATCAAAATTTCAGTAAAATCTGATTACTCCTACATCTGTATACTCCAAAAAGTATAGAATTTGATATGAAAGAACCCAACGATAAAGTGCATATAAAAAATAAAATAAATATAAACGAAAAGCAATGTTACTTGTCAAGAGAAAAACTCTCTAATTATAAGTTATAAAAATTCTTAATGATGACATTTCGACCACTGACTTCCGCACACATCTACGCCCAACATATCGCCATTTCCAGTATCAAGGGAAATACCAAATAAAAGAAAACTCCATCCTCCATCAAAGAAAAGTCCATTCTCGTTAACTGGCGGGGCTGGTGTTCACGTAAATACAGGACATAATATTGTTTCGATACAGTTCTAAGTTTTTATCAAAAAGAAACTGTCCCATGCGAATTGCGCTTCGAATCGAAACTTAAATGCAAAGTTTCCTATTCGTGTAGCAGCGCACTGTACAGCAGCACTTATCACCGCTTCGAATCGAGCCTACCATATCACTCGGAACGAATGAGCCCCTCGCGGGTGAATGAATCTCAAAGTAACTTCGGAATTTGTTCGTTGCATTCTGGGAATCGATTTCGCGAGCATAGCGATATTCCGAGTGTTACTGTGTGTAGGTGATATCTGCGCCAGCCGGCGCGTTGTCCGTCTTGGTGGACAACGGGTCGGTTGTCCGAGGTTGCATCGATAAGAGGGACAGGAAAGGCGGCAGCGAAGGTAAACGAATGGTACTTACGGACTGGGACTTTCTTGGGGTCGACGGTGGCGAGACGTTCTTCGACCTTGTCGATCCTCAGGCGCAGACGGCTGCTTCGTCCGGCGACCGCGGTCAGATCGGCCGTGAGATCGGCGAATATATCTTCGGCGGTGGTGAGCAGGGACGCGAGTTGCTTGAGGGATGTAGTAAACGCGCCGTTCGCCACCGCCTCCAATTCGGCGCCCACGGGCCAATCCTGCGCCGCCGATCCCGCCGGCACGTGTCCGCGACGCAAGTAGCGCGGTTCCACTTTTCGGAGCACAAACGGCATGATTCCACGCTATGGAAACCAACACCTTCACTCATAACACTGGATCAAACAAACGCTGCTAACTTCCAACGGTTTTCGGGCAGGGATGACGGGGGACACACAGGACACACCGGTCTATCGTTACCAGAACGCGGCAACGGACTGAAGATCCTTCCCGCTGGCGATCCAGACGAGCGACTGGTTTTCCTTGATCCCGCGCGTATATCTCTCCAGCGAGTTACGCTGCTCCATTTTCGAGCAACCCTCGAGATCTACTCTTAGCGACACTGCACTTCAACAGCTAAGCTGTTCTTCACTTTGCGATCGGGCTTTCGGGTCGTTTCGCTTCAGAAACAATTCGTAAACACGTTGATTATCGGCGCAAATTTCACTTTACTCCGAATTTCGCGGGCTTCGATCGCGTTTAAATCGGTATGGAAAGGAGTACGCGGTGCAGTTGGCGCGAGTTCGAACGAGCAGTTCCGTTTAGGGGTGTCGTACTGTCAGCGAGTTATGAGGAAAAAACGCCCGAATGAACGCCAAACAAGCGTCCGCACGTCGCGACGACGGTACGCGAAGTGCCGGCCGGCTTGCTGCTGTGTCGCCAAACCGTTGTTCGGTTTTACTCCCATTCAATTCCAGCTCGCTGAAGGCGCCCTTTGCGGCACTATGAGCCTGACATCTTGCATCAATTTGCTAAAGCTATTCCTAACTTCTAAAGGTATTAAACGTTGGTAACGCGATGCTTCTTCCTTATCGATCGCTGGCAAGGAAGTTTTATTAGGTAAAGTATAGCTTCTCCTAATTTTTGTAAATTTGATCTAAATACTCTCAGCTTTCGAGATCGTTCAGCGTTGATGAGGTGAAATTTCTTCCTTATCAAGCGCTGGAAATGAAGTTTTCTGTACGTTCTGCCTGGATAACGTTACGCTTTATATGTATCGACTGTTGACAGATGAATATGCAAGCTTCATTACTAACACTTGATATTTTCGTAAAAATACTATTAGATAAGTTTGTTGTTATTCTTTGATTAAAAATTCTATGCTCAAAGTTCGAGTTTTTCAAGTTTCATATAATTGATTGCACTTAATATTTGTATAAAGTTAGAAAAGGGCATTTTAGAACTATTTCAAAATGAATCTAATTAATTAGCAATATATTTTTATACTTTATTTACAAATGCTGATATTTTGAAAAACCCATATGTACTTCCACAGTAAAAATCATGTAGAAGTGTAATTATATCTGAGAACTTCGATACAAAGATTCAGGGCAACTGGAACTTGAAATATCGGTATTTCTATTTATTTAAAAAACTAGGCATTAGGCAATTGTTAGTGTATTAATCAACAATTATTAGTTTAATTATGGTAGTTAAAATGAAAAATTACATTTATATTTAGACAAAAGTAGAGAATTTATGTTTTGAATAATTTCATGTCGGTGGCGACATCTAGCAGCGCGAGATGGGAACTATTTTACGACAAACTTGGGCGGTTCGCCAAGAGAAAGCGCCATATTTTCCGATATTTTTATTTATTTAAAAAATTTAATACTAGTCAATTATTAGTGTACAAATCAACAATTACAAGTAGAATTATACGAATATGCAAAAAAAAAGTAAAAAATGTGATATATGTAAAAAATTAGTTCGGTTCCCGCCACTAGATGGTAATACCAATCCCGTGTCCATTATCTTGCTTCTATGTTCTTACATATGGAAATATGTAATTGCAATGAATTTAATGAATAATAAAGCATAATTATTAACAGTTGTAGTGCTGCTCATTCCTCTGGAGTAATAACACTTTATTGTTTTACAAGGTTGGTTTATTAGTATAATAATATTTTTGTGTCCTTTAATTGGCGTTCGTGCTTTTATATATAAAAAAATATGAATGCAATGAATGTTATGAATGAAAAACTACAATTTTTCACAATTATGGTAGTGCTCATTCCTCTGAGGCAATAATGGATCCCATTCATTTGGTTAACATAACGATTTTTATATAAATTGCATATACGTAAAATATACGCTAAAAAATATAACTAATTAAACAGTATAAAGGTATTAACATATGAAGTCCGTTACATTTTTCACACGAAACTCTAGGATGATACTCTGACCTAAATTTTCTCGGTTCATCAATCGCTGGCGACTTGGTAAAAAAGAAAGGAAGTAAAAAATATGTTCGATCCTAATTCAGTCAATTTTGAGATGGTCGAGTCAAAAAAAGAGAAATGCTTCGGTTGCATGGGGTTAAATAAATAATATTCCTCGCATTCACTGTGATAAGCTTAAGGAATGCTCCCGTCCGGAAAGGGTTAAACGACTCGGCAACCCTAGAGTACCTACGAATTGTTCCTTTGTTTCGGATTGCTCGGTTTATTCGAGCAAGTTCGTAGTTATACGAGTAATCCGTGCTCGTTTGTTTGGAGTACTCGACTCGATTTTCCCACCTTTCTGACGTCACTATTTGCAATAGCGGCAACATCCCTATTCTATTTAAAAAATTTAAATCAAAATAATATTTTTAACTACTATTTTTTATAAATGTTTTTTAATATTTTTTAATCAATATTTGTATAACGAATGTCAGCAAACTTGTATTGAAATTGAATTATATTGTATTGAAAAAGAAATATTGTTGAATGTAGCTAGGTTTTCACGCGTCCAAGATGGCTTCTCCCCTTAAGTACATTACTGCCAAAAGAGCAAGATATATACCATTCAATGAACTTTTATTCGCCGTTACAAATTTTACCACGAACATCTTGATTCGATTTGGTGTAAAGTAAGCTTTGGAGCGGGTATAACGGAATTGATAGTACGAGCTTAACCTTACTCTTTGCGCGTAAATCTAATGAATAGGGGTTACCAGTAGCTTCTCTTCCCTCTTTAATTTCTTCCCCATGTGCAATTTCACACGATAAAATTTCTTAACGAAAGTTCGGAATGACTGGATTAGGATCGAACATATTTTTTACTTCCTTTCTTTTTTACCAAGTCGCCAGCGATTGATGAACCGAGAAATTTTAGTTCAGAGTATCATCCTAGAGTTTCGTGTGAAAAATGTAACGGACTTCATATGTTAGTACCTTTATACTGTTTAATTAGTTATATTTTTTAGTGTAGATTTTACATATATCCAATTTATATAAAAATCGTTGACAAAACGGAGAACGTGTGAAACTATACGTTTTATGAATTAAGAAAATATTCTACTCTAGAATAGTCTAGCCTCTCGTTAGTTATTCCAATACAACAAAATTCTTTGGTAAACGTATTGTTAAACGTTTACACATTGAACACCTCCTTTATTATTATTTTACTTTGATACGTTACGAGGCAATCTTCGTGATTTATTATACAGCCAAAGTAATTGACATAAACTTTAAACATTTGGTACTTATATTAATACATGTAATTATTCCTTGAACGACTAACGAATTGGAAGTTCTTTATCTTCTATTCGTCATTCGAAATCGTTATCTAGATAAGAAATGTATCCACCTCTGGTTCGAGTGACGTACGTTAAATTTTCCGGCGATTCTTTGTTTGAGATGTCTGCTGGTTTGTCCAAAATTTTGTAAATAAGGTCTGCGTGCATTTCTTTATCAAGTTTATCTTTTGTGATGATAATTAGCAGAGCTCTTTTACGTTTGTTTGCTGTGACAATATTAATATCAAACTTTCGCAGTACTTGATTTATCTTGCCGATGATTGCAAGCGACGGAAACAATGGTGTTCCAACAGCGTGTTCCGATTAATGCTGAATAATGTAGATTCTTTTTATTCTCAATTAATAGTATAAGAAGTATATTATATAATTATTATGGATCAACGTATGGTTTCACTGTAACGTTTACAACAATCTCAGAATACTCTTTTTTTTGTGGTACATTCCTCTTGATTTTCCAAAAGGAGCTTTCGTATTTGTTTTTCGATTAGACATAAACCTGATTTTGATTTTTAATAAGAGTACAGATGATTGTATTTAAAAACGTGAACACTGATGTCGTTCAAGTCTCCATCAAGGCTACTTTGACAGGTGTACTTGATTGTTAAAAAACAAATTCATAAAGTCTATCCACAAAAAATCGTATCATGAAAAAAAAGTGTTTGGAGATACAGTCCTTCAAGTCGACGTTGTTAATATAGCAATGACTCGAGTATAATTTCTGTGATAATAATAACATTTTATGCTGTATTCATGATTACAATAAAATAATTTAAATATATACGAACACATGAATTTTATTCTAATCAAAAACAAGCATTACGATTTTTCGAATTAAAAAGAACTGACATTCATCACAAACAGTTCAACAATCAGAACAGAATGAATTGCGAGTACTGTATTGTTTTTTTAACAACACAGTCCAATCATAAATTCCGAATTTTTGCATTTCGTTAATCTGCCTCACTTCGCACATACTGCATGAAATTATCGTCATAGGTCAACGAAAGCTTTCCGACAACTACATGATTTTATTTTTATTCATTACCACTAAAATCTACTAAATCATGAAAGACTGAACGCAGAATTTAATATTGACGATTTATGGTTTACATATGTAAATTCGAATGTACACGTATGTATATTTGTTACACTTTAACATTGTGAGTACTCTTTAAAAAATGAAATATCAACCTTCTACAATCAACGAAAGTAAATTGGTGATTGGACGAAGTAAAACTCTCATTACAAATGTAACATCATGTTCATAAAATAAACGTATCAGCTAATAGAATAATAATGACAGTCAAATAGCATAAATGGTCTTAATTAATTAAAAAAATAATTTGAGGATTCTCTCACAAGCGGCGTTGGACTTTGTGTTTTAGTAAAACATTTTTTATTTTGAAGGAAAGTAGACAAGATTGCAATTAAACGTGAAAGACAATGTCTTTTTTTTTATTAAAAAACAAAATCCTATAGCATCTTTTGGAAAACTCTTTACAAATGTTACATATCTTCACGGTGGATTTTAACTATCTAGCATTTCTACCTAAATATAAAAATTAATGAAAAAAGATATTTACATAGTTATGTGTATACATGTATAATTTGTATGCTTAGGTAGAAGTTCTATATAATTAAACACCATGTATATACTATAAAAGTAAACGAGATCATGTTAATCGAAGTAGAATTTAACGATTCGCAGAGATTCACCATGAAATAAAATCAGAAGGAAATGTAAGCATAGTACCATACTAAGAAATATGTTTCAGCTGATGATGAACTCAACAATCTTTTAATTACTTATGATGACCGTTATGACTTACTGAGAATTGAATATCGTTCAAATTCGAGTATATCGGATCGTTTTGGAAACTTTGAAAACCTTAAAAGAATTAAAAGTTACAAAAGTCTTAGAAGTTTCAAAGTGTTAAAACGACGCTTCGAGGTAAGAAGAGGTTTCAGGTCTGGAAATTACAAAAAAAATCAATAAATGCGTTAAAGTTATTAATAACATGCTCAAGAACATTGAAAAGTATAGGAAAAAAAAATACAAGAGGCGCTGAGAAAAAAACAACGATTAACTCTAAGAGAGAATTTCAAATAATTTGCCCTGCATTAGAAAGTTAATGCAAACGTGTCTGTTAACAAAGTAAACAGTTGTTTAGCACTGAAATATCGATGGTATGTCTATTTTTCTGAGTTAGTTACGACAATTTCATATTGACGATCACAGTTTTGATAGGAAGCAGTCTCGTATAGTTTATATTGTTATCAGAATGTAAATTATATGATTTTCTTTTAAATATTATTTTTCAATGTTTACATACAACTCGTAACAATAATGGGTGAGATTTTTCAATGCAATTGTACAGTTGAACATTTAATTGTTCAATGGGAAATATTTCATTCTACAGTTAAAATTCTGTATTTATTTAACCAGTTACGGATAAATAGTTGTTTACCTTTCGTTCGTTACTCGAAATTTGTATCTAGTTAAAATGTTCTCGTCACTATTTACAGACTTTACGCCGATGCTGCCTAGCAGTATTTATTTCCACTTCATAAATTCCTTACAGTGGCGAAATGCTAACTATTTGCGAATACTTAACCTCTTACTTACTACAATTCCACGCAATTCTATTACTTCTTCCTTATAAAGAAACTTGTACAGAAAAAAAATTTTAATAACGATTCGGCATTTCGACGCTGTTGCGTATTTCTCTCCTTTCGAGTCTCACGCAGGAATTCTCATGTTTCAAGTTTTTCAAGTCTATTAAACTCGTTCGTGGCATTATGTCCTTCCAGAGTTTTGATTGGCTTCAAAAGTCAAATAATATTCAGGCTGTCTCAAATATTATGCGTAACTAAGTTACGTACTGACATACATTTCGAGACTTTATAACAAGTTTTCATTTTATGTTCCTTTCGATACCTTCGATTGTGTCGTATGCAAAAGGTTCGAACACCAATGGATTTACATTAAATTTAAATCCAAGTGTTTTTATATGGTTTGCTGGAGATATTTAAAATGAAGCCTTATTATGATAAAATATGACATATAGATGATAACACACATGATTGCAATTAACGTGAAAGATGATGTCGCTTAAGGGGGCAGCCATTTTTTGTTGTTTTTCTCGAAAGGAACACATTTCAAGAATGTTGTGTTAAATTTTGAAAAAGAAATCTCTATAATTGTTAGAGTTACAGCCTTGAGTGTGACAAGTGCTCGACCGAAGACTATTGAAATTAATGCGTTTAGCGTTAAACACTTTTCAATCTATTTAGTTGATAACTTTCTGAGAAAACTATGAGTCATATTGATACGTTCCAAATCTTATTCTCTTCAGAAAGCTGATTACTATGGCTCGACATAGCCGTTTCTTTAAAAATTGATTTTTTCTTTATTTTTTTCAAATTAAAAGTATCACTTTTTTCGAATTTCAAAAATTTTGTTATTCAAAGTGTCGTAATTTTCAAATATTTTGAGATATGACTAAAATTTTACGTCAGGCCATAGCCATGGGTGTCTAGTTTGAGAAAACTTCGGATTTTTTTATCTCAGACATACCTAGTGGTCACAAAATTGTCAACTGGTTATCAATATCTTTTTTCCAGTGTTCACTTGTACATTGTGACTCTATTGAATCGAGTAACGCTATATTAATGTCACTACAAGACGGATTTTTGTTTATTTATATGCTCAATAAATCATACTCAAAGTTTGGAAACAATTCATTGCATTGTTTGTTTAAAAATATTTTTTGAATATACGTCTCTTAAAAGAGCTTTTACAGTGGTTTGCCTCTTAAATAGTCGATTAATATAAAATTTTGTATTTTATTTTACTAATACATGAACTGAAAAATCATTGTAACATTAAAAATAATGTAATAGTTGTTTTCGACGCTCTGTGACATCTTTCGGAACTCTGTTCTGCGGAATAGCTAATTTGTGTCGAATTAGAAAATTGAATTGTCTAATAAGTCCTCGCGTTTTCTTTATTTGCAAGTTTTGTGCACAATCGTTACTACAAGAAATTACTGAATTATGTATTCTCCATCAATGTTTACGTCCTATTTTCACTCTCTACCAATTTGTTAATCCCATTTTGCCAAAAATCGTCAAAACTGGACTCGAAGAAGTTGTTAAACCAATTTCCTCGGTCCTCCTCACTTAATTCATTAATAACAGTCTGTAGAATAAGTGATAATCGCCAAAAGCGCCATTAGAATGTCCTCGCTGAACACGGGAGGTCTACCCGAATAAGGGTGGATCGTTCGAATCAAAATTGACATTTACAAGTTTCGCAAACCAATCTTACAGGGGAATTGGATTTTTTCGAACAAAAATCGATTTTTTTTTAAATACACATTCTTAACCCTTCTCTCCTACGGTCGGGTGAAAAGCGACCGACATATTAGTTCCATCATTAGGTTTTTACAATTGTGAAGACTAAATTCAGTAAGACTGAAATCACCCAAAGGTTATAAATAAAAATTAATTTGGTTTTAAATAAAAATTTTTTTTTAGTGTGCAATACCCCTATTTTTACGTGATAAATGTGTTTTGAGATGAAAAATGACCCAAAACTGTGGCAAGATCAAATCCAATCCAACCGCAGTAAATGTGTGATCAGAAACCATCGTAGGAGAGGAGGGTTAAAGATTGAGATCGTAAAAATATATTTCTCAAATGTCAAGTAATCTAGAATCAATTTTTAAAGGAATAAGAATTTCCATTATATGTATGCTTCTCGTATTTCTGAATGATCGAGACTACGATGTAAGTACCACATTTTCCAAATAATCGTCGATAAACTGTACCTGAAACAAATTGGCCTGGTGAATCGAATTAAATGTACCTTGAAAAAATAAGTAGAAGATACCTCTCTTTTTCAGTTGGAGGTTGGTCAACTTGACGCTATTACAATTTGACCTCATTTTTGTAGTTAGACATTTTAGTGAAAACATACAATTTTACTTACATGACCCCCATTTTGTTAAAGATAATTGTTTATAGTGCAACATCCGAAAACTACATTCATATGATCGATAGCATTATAAATATTTATTATTCTTTACCATCTCTTTCCAAGGAATAAGTATGCTCCGATTAATTGGTAATTCCACCAAAAAATTGAGTCGACCGCAAAGAGTTGGTACATACAATTTGTTAATCAATGCTCCAAATGCAAGGATTCGAACACCTTCGTGTATGCGTGTATATGTCCGCCACTGTGTGATAATAAAGAATATATGGATAATATAAAGAAAAACGTTGGACAGGTAATGATTTTGTCCGGCACAGTAATCCCTTGACTGCGAGTAAATTATTTGAAAATTCGCAAAAGAAGAGAGAATTTAACGCCCATCGATAGGGGTAGGTGGCAGCGTGCGAATTCCCTCTCTCGATCGCTGCATGGAGAACAGTGTCTGGCCCTGGGGGCATAACATACCCCTTTCCCCGCCCATCCTTTCGATCAAACCGACCACGCTGCCCTCTCCGATTCCCTCCCCCGAACGGCTTGTCTCTATCCCTCTTCCCTTCGGACCGGCTTATTCCAGACCATTGCCTCCTTCTCCCTCGTCCGTTCCGCTAACCTCTTTGCGTGCATCTCTCTCGCTCGATTCATTATTCTCCCTCGCTCCAACAGCTTGCCCCCACCTTCATCAGTGTCCCCCACTACTCGACGAACCACCCACCGGATCGCTCGTTCGCTTGGCTCTCGATCGCCCTCTTCGCCCCTCTCTCTCGATCAGTTGGCAAGTCTCTCTTGCTCGATCCTCGACGTTCCCGCTTCCTCTAGGTGCGTTTCGACGTTCGCGATCTCGTCCTCGTCGCCCCCGAGCCGTGCGGAGGCAGGCGCCACGAATTCACTTCTCGCGGCTTCGGCTTCGCTCGGTCAGTTCCGGCTTTCGACCAAAAGAATTCGTCAGTATTCGCCGCGCTGCCTTGCCGGCAAGTTATACGTAATAGAGAGGTGATTTTGATTCCCGTAATAATCACGAGTGCGCGTGTCTGATACGAAGTTATAGATATATATATATATATTTATATGTATATGTATTTATATATATATATATACATATATATACATATAGTATATAAATATACATATATATTATATTCGGGACCAGTGTGCTCCGGAAGTGGAGGAGGTGGCTCCAAAATACGAGTGTTTCGTAGGTGTCGTGTCGCTCCGATCTACCTTATATTCGAAGTAAAGGTGGATCGAAGGGGTAGTGGACGGTCAGAGAAGATCGATGAAAAATTGGGAGAGAGGCAGTTCTCCGAGCGACGAGAAGATATCGATAACGGTCGATTCGATCGTTGGAATTTTATCGACAGACTTCGGGCTACGTCGTGCACGGTCAGTGACGCGTCACGGTTCCGAAACTCGATCCACCGAAACAGTTCGCAAAAGCGTGCTCCATTCGCAACGCGAGACAACAAAGACGGAGATCCTCTCCTCGCAGTGGGCCAAGTTCTCTATCAAAACATGGCCACGTGACCGACGGTGCGGCTTGTAAACAGAGAGTTTGACCACGTGGTCTGCCCCCTCTACCGGCGCCGGTGTGTTCTCTCTCTCGCTCCTTCTTACAGGTCTCTTTCTCTCTCCCGTTCGCTCGCGACACGCAGAACAACGTACAGTGTATTCTCGGTCGGTCCGCTGCCAGTTGCGGGAGAGTTCGATTCGGGTGATCCGCGATACTCCGATTCGCTTCGCTTCGCGTACAATTCGTTTTCGTCTGGTTACCGCGTGTTATCGATACTCTGGACACTCTCCACTCTCGTCGGTGGGACCATCGAAAGGAATACGCGCTATCAGTGATCGAAGAGCGCAACAATTGTTCGAAAAAGTGACTCCAGGTTCGGTTTCGTGTACGTTATCGTCGATCAGTGCTCTGTTTAACCGGTAAGAGTAAGAGTGCCGGCAACATCGTGACTCCCCGTCTAAACTTTCCGCGATTTCTCGGTGGTCGGCGCGATATCTGTCGGGTTCAGCACCTCTCGAGGTGCTTCGCGGTCAAAGTGGAGTACACGGAGGAACCTAACATGATGGACTCGGTGCCGGTGTCAGCATCGGGGTCGAAGACCGGGTTGCAACCACAGCAGGGGGTACCGTACGACCTTGAAAGCGCATTCGAGCCACAGACGAGAGCACGGTCGCACACGTGGCCGTTGCCAAGATCGGAGGAGTACATCGAAGGGAACGTGGTGCCGAATGTATCGGCCGGCAAAGAGGGCGTCGAAGGCGTCGAAAGTGGCACGCCGCCTCAGCATGGCTCTCTCGGCCAAGGTGCCGGGCTGCTTCCGGTCAAGAAAAATTCCTCGCGACGAAACGCATGGGGGAATCATAGTTACGCGGATCTCATCACTCAGGCCATCACCAGCGCTCCGGACAAACGGTTGACTCTATCTCAGATCTATGAATGGATGATGCAAAATATTACCTACTTTAGAGAAAAGGGGGAGAGCAACAGCAGCGCTGGATGGAAGGTGAGTCTCCTCTTTATTTTTACTCTCTCACATTGAGTGTCCTATCAGGAAAAAATTCGCTAGCTTGTTACATCGGCACCAGCAAATTCCATTCGCGATATACATATACCTCTACCACGCAATGGAAACGCGCCTTTTCTCTTCGTCGCGTTCCCGCCTGAATCTTGCGTACCGTCTACGATTACCGCGATGCCGTTCTGCGAACATTTATTTCGCAAATTGACTTTATTAAACCCTTAACAACACGAATAAAGCAATTTGAGGTGAAGTTGGTTTTAAGTAATGTCGCCAGATGAATCTCTGGTTGGTCATAACCATGTTAATACCTTAGAGCCGATATACTTGGCTTTTTAATTTTGAATACAAAATTATAACATACATACGAGGAATTAATTTTAGTAAAAAAAAAATATATATATATATATATACATGTCAAATAGAGTAACCTCTTCCTTTTCGAAGTCGGTTAAAAATCAATTTTTGTAGTTAGCTGGATTTGTATAAATACACAAAAGTAGATTTAGTAGCTGTTTTTTTTACATTCATTTGTTTTTCATTGTCAATGTAAGAGAATATTTGATGTAATTCTTATTATTTCTGTAGTTTCTCTTGGACGGTAATCAACATTTTTAAGATTTTGTGTGTCATAATATCTTGGGATTCTATTCTATTCTATACTATTCGAATGAACAGACCAAGATCAAAGACTGCATAATTGTAATAAAGAAGTACAGAAAGAATGTTGTCAATTTTATTTAAATAAAGGGTATTATAATCTTTCTGTTCAGCTTTCTCTAGTAAAAAGATATTTATACTTTTTGTCTTTCATTAAAAAATATCTACGTTCATATCCTCAAAAATATGAAAATATTTGAGCGAGTGTAAACATTTTTCCAACATACATAATTTGTCTTTCGTTATTACGCACAAATTTGAAGTTATAGAAAATATTTGATTTCTCTTTCTTTTGTAAAATCATAGATATTTTACAATCAAATAAAAATAAGATTGATATATTTTTAGTTTTAAGAAAAATATGTTAATTTGAAAAAATTTCTGCTAAGATGCATGTTTTCGTGAGTATCTTTGAGTAACATATTACAAAATTATAAGATGCCAAGGGGATTAACGATACACGTGATGGATTTTTGCGATTTAAACATATAGTGTCTATTTAGATAATTCGAATAATAAACGAGTAAAAATATTCTATAGAAATTTATTCTTAACGTGTATTCTATCGAAAACAGTTCTCGAGATAAGCTATTACTCGTCCATCGTGACGCGTAATTTCATTCCATAATTCGAATTGTAATCTTTATCGAACAAGCAATGGATCAAGTTTCCTTTATCATTTATTCGAAATTCGTATCGGGATTAGAAGTTCTCCTATCTTCGACAGAGACTTTCTAAAGCACATGACGTAATGATACAGATTTAAAAAATTCTACGTATCGACCTTCGCTCTGTCCTGTTCGCGAATTGGACGAATTGAGTTAGGTCAGTGTTATTCAAACTTCACCTTCACGCTGACCTTCTCGATGAAGTACAATTCTTGACGAACTCTCTACAGTGGAATTAATTTATTATTTCTTTTGGTATATTTCGAAACGGCTTTTTGAAAGAACGTATTTGCCTTTTAAATTATTAACTTTAAATGATTTCATGTCATGATTACTAATGCGATACACGAAAATAAATATGACAAAATTACCATAACCGCTTGGGTCTTTTGAGACTATTTAATATTAATTAATAATAAATTGTTTTTTTTTCTATCAACGAATAGTTTTGTAACATTTTCATAGCTGGCTTCAAGAAAATCTTTCTTGTTGTGAACCAATAACCGAACAAAATTTTTTCATTTTTTACTATTATAAACAAAAATAGTACGAGAAGCGAGAGGGCAGTAAGTGTGCAGAAAATGAAAAAGGAGGCATTCACGTTTCTAGGTTCAATGTCAACGTTAATAAAAAAAAAGGTATAAAGAAATGATGTAACAAATATGTACGTAGCATACATTTTTATTTCCTTAGAAAATATTAATTTGTACTTATAGTGAAATAGCGATAAAATGATGATAAAATAATAGTTTGTACTTAATAGTGAAAGAAAAATTATGTTTGTTTGACAAATGTTTATATATGAGCAAATATTTTTATATTTTTTTAAAGGAAATGGAAGTAGTTATTTTTTAAGGAAAAAGAAAAGGTATAAATATTTTTGTATTAAAGAAAAATGAAGAGAAAGATTACAATAGCCTCTTTTTAAATCAAATTGAAAACATTGTTCGTGTTCTTCATTATTACGTTCATGCAGTTTTTGTTCTTGGTTTGTTCGTTTGCATAGTATGGAATAGAATAGGATCCCAAGATATTATTAAAAGAAATCTTAAAATACAAAAATGTAAATTTTTATTTCTTTAGAAAATAAATTAGAAATTTATTTTGTAACGAAATAAAAATTTTCTTTACCCTGATAATCGTGTAACGAAAAATAGCATGTAAGCCAGTCAAGGGTTATGTTTACATTGTTCTGCAAATCGTTTTTGTTAAGAGAATGCAGTTGCTAGATCCCATCCAGATTTCCAGTACGCGTGATTACGATATGCGATCAAGCGTCGACACCAAACGATTCAGAATTCCTCGTTACCAAATAATCGAACGCGAGGAATTTGCTATTTTTGCTCGCGAGTGCGAGCGTGCGACCGGTCGAAACGATTCTAACGAGATTCGGCGACTCGCGTCCTAGTCATCGACAAAACATTGCGAACACGAGCGAAATCGTGAAAGAGAGGGAGAAAAGACGGAGAGAAAGGCGCCAGCGAGACGTTTTCGATTTTTCGGCGCAGAATACGACGAATAGAGAATATTCGTGGCATGTTAAAAAAAAGTAGTGATAGAATCCAGGAACAGGTTCTGAAACTTTTAACCGTTTCATTTTTACATATTTTCATTTCTTTATTATTACTATCCTATCCATTTGGCGTTATTCTGTATTCTGTTTCTTCAGTTGCATGGATTTTATGAATTGTTTACATTCTTATGATTATTTCCCATTGTCAAGAATGTATTTAATGAATCGCACTTGATTTCCCTCTATCATTCCTCTAAATATAGTCATCGCTTTAAATATTTATTGCGTACTTCATACTGTTTCATTACAGTGTTTTTCTTTTATTTTTATTTTAGACTGGATTCCATTTATATTATTGCATGTTGTTAGCATTACGATCTTTGAAATTAGAGGGTGGTGGAGAGACAAATCAATTTATCACTTTGATTAGCCTTGATCGTATTTTAATTCTCACTAACAAACGTGACGAAACACGTTGTCAATACTTGAGTACTTTTAAAAAAAAGTTCGACATACACAGACCAATTTTTCTTGATTCATGATTCTAGTGATATGTAATGTCAACATTTTAGGCACTTAATGATGTTTTCTTCAAATATTCGAATTTACCGTATTCACTTTTTTTTTAATTTCGACAATTTAATACGCGAATTCAATATATGAGTCTAAATATTATTTGAAAAAATAAATCCGTAGATTAAGAAAAGCATACGAATACAAAATTAAGGAAAAACTTGGACGTTAAATAGTATCACAAATTAAAAAAGAATTGTAATCGAGAAAGAAAGAAGATTTTTATGTTTCAATGCCGATAACTTAAATATAACAAAGTATATACTTATAATTCTTCCTAGAGTGAACATACAAATGGCAAGATTGAGTTTTTAGAATATTAATTGGAGCCTTGTTAAATCAGAGTCTTACTCCCCATATGACTTGTTTGTCTGTAGAGTATTCGCTATTTGAATTTTTATGATGCGATATTGACATTTGTGTTTTGATGACTTAAATACGACGAAGCAAATGTATTTCTTCATATATTACATATAAATAACAAGATGGAGCTTTCAAGACATTGACTGGTGACACTTTTTAATCAAAGCTCTAGGTCCTATATACTTGTTTTACCTGTAGTGTATTTGCCAATTGGATGTTGTCTATATGCTTTTTTGTAATACGTTACCTATGTTTCTACGTTGAGGTTGGGAAAGGAAATGCGAAATTCGCGTGATCGCTTTCACGGTATTTTGAATCGAAAATCCCACTCGGTTTCAGACTTTTAGAGGAGGGAATATTGAATACAGAAATCAGCAATGTACCAAAAAGCACCTCCATGATGTTTTGTATTCTAATTCTGGACATATTGACATACCTTAACATTTTCATCTCCTTACAGTTTTTTTAATATAATATATCGTTTTAGTTCAGTTTAAATAAACACTAATCGCTAATTAGGTCTTGGATACGATGTGCGTTCACTTAAATTAATTTCCATTTGTCTAATCGAAATTTCTCATGCTTTTTTGAAGTTTCCTCACAAACAGAATAAATGGGGTTATATTCTTACTCTTTTCACATTTTTAAAAGTGTCCACAGTATAAAAACATGGCATTTGGATGTTGTCTATATGCATTTTTGTAATACGTTACCTATGTTTCTACGTTGAGGTTGGGAAAGCAAATGCGAAATTCGCGTGATCGCTTTCACGGTATTTTGAATCGAAAATCGCGCTCGGTTACAGAGGAGGGAATAATGAATGTAAAAATCAGCCGCGCTGATCTTGATAGAAACGCTCTTCTCGCATTGGCGTAGTCGTAGTCCGATTTCTAACGACGCGGATGCGCGTACATCGTCATCTGCGTTCATCGGAATTTAAAAAAAGCATACTATCGATTTACGCGGTTTAACAGTTGGCGAAGTTAACTTTTTCCCGCGGTGGATACTTCTCCCTCAAAGCGGACCACTTTTGCGAGTTGTTCTGAAATCGAGGGAAATAAAATACGTCCCGGTAAACAATATCGCGTTGTACGTGACCGTAGCGATTTCAGAGATAAAGTTCGCTGAAATAAAGAATTTGCTGAATGACGTTCGTTTGCGATCTACCGAATCACCGAATTATTTGCCGCGATGTTTCGTACTCAATT